TGGTCAACTGTAAATAAAAACAAAAACATAATTCTGCTCAGCCGGTGTGGCTCAGTGGTTGAGCATCGATCCATGGACCAATAGGTCACCGTTCGATTCTTAGTCAGGGCACATGCCCGGGTTGTGGGCTTGATCTCCAGTGTGGGACATTCAGGATACGGCCAATTGACGTTCTCTCTCATCGATGTTTCTATGTTTCTCTCCCTCTCCCTTCCTCTCTCTCTAAAAATCAATAAAAATATATTTAAAAAAACATAATTCTAATATACATGTCTTCCCTTGCCCAAGTTGAAGCATTACACAAATCTTTTTAAGCTACAAATTCCATTTTTGAGTTCTTTTTTTTTTTTTATCCTCACCTGAGGACACTTTTGCGTTTATCTTCAGATAGAGTGGGAGGGAGAGAGGGAGGAAGAGAGAGAAACATTCGTGTGAAAGAGACACATCAGCTGGTTGCCATCCGTACAACCAGGGCCGGGGATGAACCACAACTGAGGTACGTTCCCTTAGTGGGAACCAAACCTGGGACTCTCTGGTCCTGGGGCCGATGCTCTAACCACTGAGTAAAACCAGCCAGGCCATTTTGGGGTTCTTAATTTTGACTTTTCTTTCACTTGGCTTTGGTATATCTTCAAGTAATTTTTTCTAAATGTGTAGAATATGTTTTCCAGTCCTTGGACATCTGAAAATAATTTTCTGTTGCCTTTACACATGAAAAACCTTTTGACTAGATTTTAACGTTGATTACAAAAATTCTGCACAACATTGCTTCATGCTCTTCTTTTGCTGTCTGCTTCTGGTTAATCTACAGTGTCTTCAAATAGCTGTATTTTAGAAAAAGTCCTGCAATTATCATTGTGATCATCAAGAGGAATAGACTGATAAAAATTACAGTGCTATTACCAAGCTAATATTATTTTTTGCCTGTATTTTTTTTTATCCTCACCCAACGACATTTTTACATTTATCTTGAGACAGAGCAGGAGGCAGAGAGGGAGGGAGGGAGAGAGAGAGAAACATTGATGTGTGAGAGACACATCGAGTGGTTGCCACCCACACGACCCCAACTGGGGCTGGGGACAAACTGCAACCGAGGTATGTGCCCTTAGCGGGAACCCAACCTGGGACTCTCCGGTCTGTAGGCCGATGTTCTAACCACTGAGAGAACTGGCCAGGGCTCTTGCCTATGTATTTTTGTGTGTGTGTGTGGTATGTGCCCCTAGCAGGAACCGAATCTGGGACTCTCTGGTCCACTGGCCGACGCTCACCCGCTGAGCCAAACTGGCCAGGGCTATATTTTTATAATATACTTTCTTTTTAAAAAATTGATTGTAGAGAGAGACACACACACATACATTGATTGGTTGCCTCTTGTATTTATCCCAACCAGAAACATTCCTGCAACCTAGGTATGTGCCCTGACCCAAAATCGAACCTGCAAGCTTTTGGCTACAGGCTGATGCTCCAACCAACTGAGCTACCTGATGTAATATACTTTCTCTTAAAAAAAAATGTTTTTATTGATTTTACACAGAGAGGAAAGGAGAGGGAGAGAGAAACATAGATGTAAGAGAGAAACATCAGTTGGTTGCCTCCTGTACATACCATGACTGGGAATCAAAGCTGCAACCTGGGTATGTTATCTGACCAGGAATCAAACTGGTGACCTTTCTGTGCGTGGGATGATGCTCACCCAACTGAGCCACACTGACCAGGGCTATGATATACTTTCTTGTACCCTTGTCTCCTACAGCCTAGTCTCACACTAGTAACTGGAGTAGTCCTATTGGAATATTAAGTCTGATGATGCTGTTCCTTTCTTTACAAGCCTCTGGCAGCCCAGCCCCCTCAGGACGAAAGCATAGATCCTTGCAATCAGCTGTGTTGTCCTCCAGTGTGCCCACCCCCACTCTATCTTTTCTCTCTGACTTGGTGTCCAATTATTTTCCATTTTAATCACTCTGTTCTTGCCAAACTGACCCTCTTCATATTCTTTTTTTTTTTTATCCTCACCCGAGGATATTTTTCTATTTATCTTCAGATAGAGTGGGAGGGAGAGAAAGGAAGAGAGAAAAAAACATCGACGAGGAAGAGACACATTGACTGGTTGCTTTCTGCACAACCCCTCAGGGCCAGGGACCAACCACAACTGAGGTACGTGCCCTTGGCCAGAATCGAACCTGCAACTCCACAGGCTGAAATTCTAACCACTGAGCCAAACTGGCCAGGGCCACAACTAACTTCTTTTTTTTTTGGTACGTAACCTTAGCGGGAACCGAACCCGGAACTCTCTGGTCCGCAGGCCGACGCTCCAACTGCTGAGCCAAACCGGCCAGGGCCACAACTAACTTCTTAATTGACTGTCTTCTCTCACAAGGAAGCAAATTCCATGCTGGCAGGAATTTGTGTGAGTTTGGTTCACATCTGTATTCCAAAGGCCTGGACTAGATGATGCTTAATGAATCCGGGTCCCTTTCTCGCTAGGGACTCATATGGCTCAGCTCCCTGATACTGAAAATGTATGTCCAGGGCAGTTCCCAGCCACACTCAGAAACTGGTGTATTTTATCTTGAGCTCTTTTTCTTCACTCCTGTAGAATCTTTCCCATCATTCTTCCCTTGCAGAGTGCCGATATCCTAGGACACAACACTGTGAAGTTTGAAAAAAATATTGGTGGACTAAGTGTCTGTGGGGTTTGGGTTTATTTTTATCAGCCATATAGCCTTAGGAGAACATGATATCTTTTAAACTTGTTACTATCACATAAAATACACCAGTGTTCTAGTGTTTATAGAGTTAATAGGTAGAGATTAAGAAAAAAAAGGGAGGATGTTGATTTAATCATCATTTACATAATGTGGTTTTATGGGCCGACATAAATTATGCATTGTTGACCTTTACATTAATTTAGGCTTAATGAGATGGTTTCATTATGTTTAAAGATGTAATATAATTATTTTATTATGTTTTTTATTGTTTTCTAAGCTTATTTATGCTTTGTCTCTCGTTAAGGTCCAAGAATGTGGCATTCTTTTTTTCCCCCCTATTAATCCTCACCTGAGGATGTTTTTTCCACTGATTTTTAGAGAGAATGGAAAGGCCCTGGCTGGTTTGGCTCAGCGGTTAGAGCATTGGCCCGAGGACCAATGAGTTGTGGGTTCGGTTCTGGTCAAGGGCATGTATCTCGGTTGCATTTGTCCCTGGCCCTGTTCGGGTCATGTGGGAGGCAACCTGTCCATGTGGCTCTAACATGTCACTGTTTCTCTCTCTGTCTCTCTGTCTCCCTCCCTCACACTCTCTGATAATAGGTGGAAAAATATCCTCAGGTGAGAAAAAAAAAAAAAGAGAGAGAGCGGAAGAGGGGGAGAGAGAGAGAGAGAAACATCGATGTGAGAGAGAGACATTGATTGTTTGCCTCCTGCACAGGCCTTGACCAGGGCCTGGGATCGAAATCGCAGCCCCAGTACGTGCCCTTGACCAGAAATCAAGCCCAAGACCCTTCAGAGTGCTGGCCAAAGCTCCAACCACTGAGCAACACAGTCTAGAGTTCAAGTATATAGCCTTCTTATCAAATATTTTTTAACTTTTCTGGTGTGATGTTTGCAGAAGCCTGATCTAACTGAAGTATGGTGTCCCTAAATTGTTTAATATTCCAGGGCACAGTACAACTTTTGCTTTAATGGAGGCCTATATTTTGAAAAGAGTTATACATCATTATGTGAAAATGGGTTCTTTAAAAATGTAGTGTCACCAAAGACTTCTCACAGCAGCAGAGCAGAGTTGTATAGCTGGGGAGGTGCCCCGCCCCACGGCCTCCTTGCCCCAGGGCCTTCTCAAAACCATACTGTATCACAGTTGAGCTATTTACACTGAATAAAGTCCCCACCACCACCACCACACATACAAAATGTAGTGAGCATGTCATCCTGGACACAAACAGAAAAATGAATCTAGCATTCTGACGAGGAGGCTCAATCTTGGGCCCTCTAGTGTTGGCTCTTGAGAATGCAGATTAATTTTGAACATGGCGTTGTGTCAGAGGGAGTACCTCGAGTCCCCTGAGGGTCCCAGGAAATCTGAAGAGGAGGAGGATGCTGAAGAGCCTGGTCTCTGGCCTCATTACGTTCAACGATAGAAGCTACACTGTCACATATTTTCTTCAATTTGGAACACTGCTAACCTCTTCCTTGATGATATAGTTATTTTAGTACTTCCAAAATAAATAAAGGTTGAAAAACTATAGTACTAGAGTGTAAGGATATGAAACCTAAGAAAGTGATTGTTTGTGCCATCAGATTTTAGGACTTGGGCAGTATTTCCTCATATAAATTATATCCATACTTGAACTAGCCCCAAATAGCTAATCTATGGTAGAATTAAATTGAACATCTATATATTTTCATTAAAGAATATGCAACAGCCCTGGCCAGTTTGGTTCAGCGGTTAGAGCGTCGGCCTGCGGTCCAGAGAGACCCGGGTTCGGTTCCCGCTAAGGGCACGTACCTCCGTTGCAGTTTGTCCCCGGCCCTGGTTTGTCGTGCGGGTGGCAGCCACTCGATGTGTCCCTTTCACGTCGATGTTTCTCTCTCTCTCTCTCTTCCTCTCTCTCCCTCCCACTCTGTCTGTACAAAAAATGGAAAAATGTCCTCAGGTGAGAATTAAAAAAAAAAAAAAAAAGAATATGCAACAACAACAACAAATGCAACATGAAGGTCAGTGGGGTTTAGTGACGAGCAAAGGGTGAATCATTTAAAATTATTTTTTGCACTGATGGTAAAAGTTATCATTTATTATTGTGGGAAATTCGGAAAATATCAAATAACATAAGAAAGAAAATAAGAAGAATGGTATAAAGAAACTTTGGAAGTACCCCTGCCCCAAAGTAACAGGATCTAAGTGAATTGGAATTCTTAAGTAAGTTCCTTTTCTAGTTGCTACTGCTGCATAACAAATCACCCCAAAACTTGTGGCATAAACTAACCATTTTCGTATGTTCACAGGTTCTGGGTATTGACAATTCAGACTGGGTACAGTCATGGCATTGTCTCTGCTCCATGATATCTGGGCATCAGCTGGGAAGAATAAAAGCTGGAGATGACTTGACTGCAGGGGCTGGAATCATCTGGAAGCATCTTCACTCCTATGTCTGGTGGGTGATACTGAATGCCGACTAGGACTTCTCCTGCAGTGGCTGCTCCATGTGGTCTCTCTGTACAGACTAACTTGGGCTTCCTCATAGCATGGAAGCTGGATTCCAAAGTGACTCTCTCAAGAAACAGGAAGTAAAAACTGTTAGTGTTTTTAGAGCCTGGGCATGATCATAGTGTCATTTCTTCTGTAGTCTTATTGGTCAAGGACTAACAGAGCCCAGATTCAACCTTGACCCTACCTCTCGATTGGAGGAATGGTAAAAAGTTGTGTGGCTCTGTCGTAAAGCCTTCATAGTTCCCTCCTTAGATGACAGTGGTTAAATCAGAGCCTGACTCAGGCTGTCTGGGTTCACATTTCACTTCCATACTCACTGGCTAGATGACCTTAAGTTCTTTGTGGTAGAAATGATCATTGTTTGCCAATATCACTCCTATTCTCTTCTTCCTGGGAGCACCAGTATTTCCTAGCCCCTTGCATTCAGAGCCAAGAGACTAGTTTTAGCTAGTAAAGTATGAGCAGAAGTGCCACATGTCACCTTGGGTTGAAGGAGATAAGAGTTACAGATATTCTCACCCTCTCCTCCTAATCTGTTAGCTAGCTGCAGAGGATCCAGTGGGCTCAGGCACAGGAGGTGGTGGAGTCACAATACGGAAGGAGCCTGGGTCCCCGAATCACTGCTGGAGTGAGTCCTTTCTCTCATGTCCTCTGCTAACAAGGACATGGAGGACAGGTAGGCCTTTACCACATTGAGTCACTGAGGTTTTGGTGGTGTTTGTGATAGCAGTTAGCTTACCAGACTAGTACATGACCCAACCTCTCTGGACTTGTTTCCTTCCCTGTAAAGGGCGGGTATTAGCTGTAGCTAACTTTGGGTACCCTGTGAATTAAGATAATTTAATGTATAGTACCTGGCACATAGTAAGTGCTCACTGGATGTTGGTTATTGTTATCAGTGACCCCGTCATTTAGAAGAGGGGGCAGGTTTGTGTCTGGGAGGATGGTGGTCTAGGAGGAGTGTAATAGTAGGTTTGTTATTGTCATCACCATCATGAAGATGGCACCCGCCATTTACTGAACACCTGATTGGGCCAGGCTCTGTCCTAGGGTGCATCACTTGTACTCATTTCAATCCCCTGAGGCAGGTACTGTTTACCTCGGTGTCAGGATGAGGACCCAGGAGCCCAGGGCTGCTGCCGAAGTTACACAAATCACACAGGCAGGGTTTAAACTCAGACTGTCTGACCTCAAAGTCTGAGTCCTTTACTTCAGAAATAACACCACGTGTATTTTGGGGAAATGAGATAATGTATTTAAAGAAAAAAATTTTTTTAAAAAAATGAGGCCTTCACCTATTTTGCTTCTCACTAGGGAAGTGTTATTTTGTCCTGAGACTTTCCGCACTTCACGCTGCACAGATTGGCCTTTATCAATGAACCCTTTGGTGGAGAGATGGCTGCAGATGTGAAAGGCCCCAACTTTCTTCCTTTCCCAGGGTCCTGTTACTCCTGTTTTGTCTGGGCTCCCACAAGCTCTGTGCGGAGTCCGGCGGTGGAGAAAGGGACTGGATTTCCAGAACAATGCCGAGTCTGAGTCCTGCGCATTGTCCTGCAGCTCAGGGCTTTCTGTGAGCAGAGCAGATGCTTTGAAGCCCTCTCCGCGACACACAGAACCCGGGTGTGGTTTCCCAGAAGCAATTCCCATTTCTTTATTTCTGTGTGGAGTGAGGAAAGATTTGTTTGCGATTCCACAAGAACAAGAAAGGTTTGAGGAAGACTTCTGAGGTGCCGGGGCTTATGATCGATTGCTCTTCACAGTCACGTGTAATTTATTCTCTCTTCCTCCCCTTTGAGATAACAGTTCTGGCTTTCGCAACGTAACCCACCCCGTAGACCAGTAGATTTATAGGCATCGATTCGGTCATTAGCAACATGTAGCTGGACCACATTAACGTTTATGTTAACAAGACAATTCTACCCGCAACTGTTTATGTCACTTGCTATGTGTTGAGTTAAGACAGCAGGTAAAGACTGGTTTATAATGTATTTCACTTACTCTGCTCCTCTTCTGGGCCTGATAAAACTTTAAACACAAAATGTAGCTTCCTTTTTATCTCACACTTCGTTTCTCTGTCAAAGGCGATGCTCAAGGCAAGATGAATAAAGCCGACTTCTACACGTAAGGTTATCTTTAAAATATTTATGACTATGTTCAGGAAAAATCCTGGACTCCTCATTGCTACAACAATGGGTTAAGTTACGCCCTGGCCTGTTTGGCTCAGTGGTTAGAGCGTCGGCCTGTGGTCCAGAGAGACCCGGGTTCGGTTCCCGCTAAGGGCACGTACCTCGGTTGCAGTTTGTCCCCGGCCCTGGTTGGGTCGTGCGGGTGGCAGCCAGTCGATGTGTCCCTTTGACGTCGATGTTTCTCTCTCTCTTCCTCTCTCTCCCTCCCACTCTATCTGAACAAAAAAACGAAAAAATGTCCTCGGGTGAGGATAAAAAAATAACTAACTAACTAAATAAAAATGGGTTAAGTTGCTTTTCTTCTAGGATATTATTATTGTTATTAAGATAATAATATTATTTTATTAGTATAGAATTTTATAGAAATCCTTCTATAGTAAAACTTTGAAAACTATTTTGTTCTTTAAAAAATAATAATGTTATCAGGCCCTGGCTGAGGAACTCGGTTGGAGTGTCACCCGATGTGCCAGGGTTGCGGGTTTGATCCCTGGTCAGGGCACATACAGGAGTCAACTAATGAATGCATGAATCAGTGGAACAGCAAGTTGATGTTTCTCTCTTTCCTCTCTCTCTCTAAAATAAATAATAACAATCAAAAGGTGCTTAAAAAAATAATTTTATCAGAGTTAAAAAAAAAAAGAGACCCAAAACGTTATGGCTGCTTCAAAAATAGCACAAGGTGGCGCCAGAGAGCCAAAGTGGAGATGGATTTGCTTCTCGGAAGCAGTGCACGAGGGTCCCAGTTTCTCCACATCCTCACAACACTTTTTTCCTTTTCTTTTTTTTAAAACGTAGCTCTCCCAATGGGAGTGAAATAGTCTCTTATTGTGGTTTTGATTTGCGTTTGCAGTTGGTTTTGACTTATTTTTTAAGCCATAGAGTATTCTATTGACAGCTTGTGCAGCATGGCCTGATGGTCAGGGGCTTGGGGTCTGGTGTGTGCCACCTGAGGGAGGTTCCCAGCACCCTCATACACTAACCATGGTGAGTCACAGCCACCCTGAGCCCCAGGGTCTTTACGAAGTTGGTTGGAGGAATCCACAAGGTGGAGCTACAAAGCTCTCAGCATGCAGTAAGTGCTCACTTTAGGCCCTTCACTAAGTGGTTTCTATGGTCCCTCTCAGTGTCAGAGTCTAAGACCACCCTAGGGATTCACTAATCCGATTCCCCAAGTGTCAGTTGGAACAGACCAGTGTCACCAGCATCACGCTGGGTCCTTGGGAGTTGGTCAAGGCCCTTGGCCCACACCCATTCTTCCAGAGGATGACAGCCATGCCAGGCTCCTGCCTGTCAGGGAACCCTGGTTAGGACACATGGAGGACACCCGGACTGTCCATCTGTCCAGCTAGCTTCCTCTTTGAAAGATAGGAGCCAGTGGACTTCACAGAGGCAACGTGTCGTCGTTTCTGGAAACATGGAGCAATACTTGGAGAAATGGGTTATCTTGAACTTCATTAAATGTGCTCGTCCTTGGGGCTGGGTGGAGGGGGGAAATGGGGGACATCTATAGTACTGTCAACTTTAAGTAAATTAAAAAAACTAAAGGTGTTCATCCTTTGTAATTTGAATAGAGCGAGACGTCTTTTGAAACAGTGCTACAAGTTCACCGAGAAGCCAGGAAGTTTGGGAGGATAGAGAGGCCAGGGCAGGACATAGGTCTGTTTTCCTCTCAAGGAGCCGGTGATAACTTTGCAGGATGATTGCTTTTGGGTCTTCGCCACAAGACTTGTTTACTGTGCAGGAACAGCCCTAAGGGAAGAGATAGTATCTGCAGAGGGCAATCAGTGAGTAGCAGAAACAGGCCTGCTCACTGAGGAGGCTTGGGCTGGGGAGGGCTGGGCCGATGGGGCAGCACAGAGGGGAAGGGACGGGCTGGCCCAGAAGGAAGGGCAGAGACCAGGGCTGACGATGAGGTCTTGGCACCAGGGCCTGTCAGAAGTGGCGATGCTGCAAAGAAATTCTTCATGGGGACGTGAGCTGCAGCAGAAGGTTCCTCACCCATTCAGAAGGCTGAGGCGTGGGGCCTGGGAGACCCCTTCTGGGGAGACCGTATCAACACCTCTTCTTACCATTCAGGAGGATGCTCAACCCTGCATTTCCCCAGATCAACCGCTCACCACTCAGCAGAGGACATGAAAGCATCCATAAAAGAGATATCACAGATTTTGTTGGCCGTAAACCTCAAAGATGAATTTTCCCATCACATTTTACAAGTATGGGTTTTAAAGCCTTCATAATGCCAGGCTGCCCCTCTCTCCAGTACCCACGAACTTCCTCCTGAGGTGATGATCGGTGGTGTTGACTCAGCCAGGAGAAGACCTTGGATGACACACGATGCCGTAACATACGGAACTGATAGAGGGTTTTTTGTTTTTGTTTTTGTTTTTCATGGATGACAGAGGGAAGATTTCTCTGTCTTTGAACTTCTTCGTCCATGTAGATGGCATCCTCTGTGGGAAACTTGGCGGGGGGTCCTGAGCAGGCAGGAGATGTGCAGTCCCCAACAGCATCCAAAGATCCTGAAGGTTGGAAAGAACAGATACAGTTAAGATGTGGATTTTTTTATTTGTTGCCTTTTCTTTTGGTTTAATTATTTGAATAGATAACACAGCCACTGTATGGACCAAGTGTGCAACAAAAAGTTACCCCCACTGCTCAGTACCTGTCCCCTTCTCCCACAAGTAAGTACTGTCTAATATCCACTTCCACAGTATCTGGTGCATCTAAAAACAAATTCAGAGACACATCCTTATGCCCACCTTGTTTTTGTTTTTTTTATCCTCACCCGAGAACACCTTTGCATTTATCTTCAGATAGAGCGGGAGAGAGAGAGGGAGGAAGAGAGAGAGAGAAACCTCGATGTGAGAGAGACACATCGAGTGGTTGCCACCCACATGACTCCAACCGGGGCCGGGGACAAACTGCAACCGAGATACGTGCCCTTAGCGGAACCGAACCTGGGACTCTCTGGTCT